TCTGTTGCTCAGGCTGAAGTACAGTGGCATGATCTTGGCTCACTGCAATCTCCGCCTCCAGGACTCAGGGGATCCTCCCACCTCCACCTCCCAGGTTCAAGCGATTCTCCTGCCTCAGCCTCCCGAGTAGCTTGGATTACAGGTGTGCACCACCACACCTGGCTAATTTTGTATTTTTAGTAGAGACAGGGTTTCTCCATGTTGGTCAGGCTGGTCTCAAACTCCCAACCTCAGGTGATCTGCCCGCCTCAGCCTCCCAAAGTGCTGGGATTACAGGTGTGAGCCACCACACCTGCCATATTATTTCTTTCTGTACAAGTTTTTAGAGTAAACAGAATATTTGCTAGTTTGTTCACTTATTCTTAAAATACTGTTTACTTTGTACCAGGTCCTATGCTAAGATCTTGCTTTACGTTATGACAAATAAAACAAATGTGGTCTATAGACTCAAAGCTTATCATCTGGTAGAGGAAAACAGGTGTTGTGTCAGAAAACAATATAATTTAAAATTCTATGAAAGAAATGAACAGTATGAGGTAATAAAGACAATTGACACGTGTAAAATAACAGATGTTTTTCTTTCTTTTTTTCTTTTTTTGAGATGGTTTTGCTCTTGTTGCCCAGGCTGGAGTGCAATGGCGCGATCTCAGCTCACTGCAACCTCTGCCTCCCAGGTTCAAGCAATTCTCCTGCCTCTGCCTCCTGAGTAGCTGGGATTATAGGCATGCACCAGCATGCCCAGCTAATTTTGTATTTTTAGTAGAGGTGAGGTTTCTCCATGTTGGTCAGGCTGGTCTCAAACTCCTGACCTCAGGTAATCCACCCGCTTTGGCCTCCCAAAGTGGTGGGATTACAGGCATGAGCCACCGCACCCAGCCCACATGTTTTTCAATATCTAATTATGCATAAAAATGAATGCAGCTCTCTCTCAAACTGTTCATTGAACTAACTTTTTCCAGAACCCAAAGAAAGATTTGCTTGAAATCTGATGAACAGTTTATAGCTCTAATATGTTAATACACCACACAGCTTTTTCTTTTTTTTTTTTTTTTTTTTTTACACTATTAGGGGAGCCAGTTAATACATGATACATGGTAATGACATAACTGAGGCTCCATGTGTCCATCAAAATTTGGGGTGCTAAATCAATAAATACACAGACACTTGGTCACTGGCTATCCTAGGAGCCTGTGGCTATGTTGCTGGACGCTTATGTTCTGTAATCCTAAAATACATAATCATTATTTTGATATACTCTGTATTGGTGACTTCTGACTGCCCTCAAAATGCAAGTGATTAAAGAAATCTCCCAATATGCACCTTTGTCAAATCTGTACTTGTAGTATGTTAGAAGTTTAAAAAAGACACTCAAAATAACTTGTAATGATGCCTGACTTAGCCAACTGTCCCAAGACAGTCCTATTTGTAACAACTCTGTTCCAAAGTTATGACTTATAGTCATAGAAAATGAAAGGGAGAGATGGGGCTTAGTGCAGCATTTCCCAAAGTATGTTCTCTTCTGCTATATGCTCCTAGACAAGAGGCTCTCATAAGTTTGAAAAACTGTGCTCCAAATCCTCCTCTTGGAGTTTCACAATACATAGAAGCACAGTAAAGGCTCTATGAAGTCTTAAAATTAGAAAACCTGTTTAATTCAGTGTCTGCCAAATTTATTTGGCAACATCATTTTGTAACTTAAAAATTGTATAAATTGTGATGAAACATATATACGTAACATAAAGTATGCCATTTTAGCCATTTTTAAGTGTATTATTGGTGTTACATTCACCATGCTGTTTCACCAGCAGCACCATTTCCAAAGGTTTTCATAACATAAACAGAAACTTTGTACCCATTAAACAGTAAGTCCCCATTCCTCTCTCCTCCCCACAGTCCCTGGTAACTCTATTCTACTTTCTGTCTCTATGAATTTACCTATTCTGGACATTTTGTGTACGTAGAGCCATATAGTATTTGTCTTACTGTGTCTGGCTTATTTTGCTTAGCATAATATTTCTGAGGTTCATTCATGTTGTAGTATATATCATAACCTCATTCCTTTTTATGGCTGAATATATTCAATTGTGTCTAGTTTTGTAACTTTTGAGGAGCACACTGTGGAAAGGCTGATAATGAGTCCGTATGAGCTTTAGTGCCATCTGGAACCACGGTTCTAGCACAGTCTAGTTATGTAAGCTTGGACAAGTCATTTCACTTTTCTGGGCCTCACTTACTTTACTTAAAATGGGAAGAATGTATTCATCAATGAGTTCTTGTAAGGATTAATTAAGATAACTCTCATAAATTACCTAGCAAAATGCTTGGCCTGTAACAGCTGACAACTGAATATTCTTATCTCCCTTATATTGGCAGAAAACAAAAAAAGGGAAGATCATACTGCATTATAAATTTCTGTAACTAGTAGTAATCAACAATTGTCTATTTTGTTCTACCCAGGCAAAGAGTCTAGCACTGTCCAATACTGTAGCCACTAGCTACATCACAATTTGACAACTGACCACTTGAAATGTGGCTACTTTGATTCTAATTTCAGTTAATTTAAGTGTAAATAGCCACATGCTGCTAGTGGCTACTGAATTGCACAGTGCAGGTCTAGACTCCTAAAGCAGTGCTTCTTTATCTTGGTTTCATAATGGGATCACCTGTGAAGGTTTAACATACATCGCTGCCTAGGCCCCTTGCCAGAGCAATTGGATTTTAATCTGTGAGCCCAGAATAAGTAAGCATGTTTAAAGAGCTCCCCAGGTGATTTTAATACAGAGAGAACCACTGCTCTAGTGATCCCTTTATATTCTCCCTCTCCCCCATCAATTAGTACCCTCATTTCAAGAAAAAAAGGGCAGTATTTTTGATCTCTTAAGTTGATATTTTACAGATTCCTTCTAATAACTTTCCTTATATCTATGACTGGATCTATAACTCCAAATATTATCTGTGTCTCTTCTCTCAAATTTTTTGTCACTGATAAAATAGGGCATGGCTAATATATATAGTATTATCTATGGAATCATAAATATGTATTAAAAGTAGACAAAGAATATCAACTTCAGGCTAATCAAGAGAGGGAAGAGGAACATAGGTTTTGAAAAATCCAACTGTAGTTGATGTTCTATTGATTTAAAAATTCTTCTAAGTTTTTACTGCTTTTAATTGTAGAAATACAGAGGTAAACCATGGCATAACTTTTTTGCAGTGACAATTCTGTTCATATACAGGGGATGTTTCTGCTTTAGCTAAAATCTAACACTTCAATAAATAAGCAACTACTCACCAATCCCTCAAATATGCCTGTACCTGTCACCTTTTTTCTTTTTCTTTTTTTCTTTTGAGACAGACAGGATCTCTATAACCCAGGCTGGAGTGCAGTGGCACTATCACAGCTCACCACAGCCTCAACCTCCTGGAATTTGGTTGATCCTCCCACCTTAGACTCCCAAGTAGTTGGGACTACAAGTGCGCACCAGCACGCCCGGCTAATTTTTGTATTTTTTGTAGAGATGGGATTTCTCTGTGTTGCCCAGGCTAGTCTCGAACTCCTGGGCTCAAGCGATCCACCCGCCTTGGCCTCCCAAAGTGTGACAGGCGTGAGCCACCGCGCCTGGCCCCTTTCACTCTCCTACACCACTTATTTCCATTTATGTCTACCTAAAAAGTGGTACTACACCTAAAGAAGGGGAAATTGATTGGGAAGGCTTTCTTTCTTTCTTTCTTTCTTTTTTTTTTTTTGAGACAGAGTCTCACTGTTGTTGCCCAGGCTTGAGTACAAGGGCGGGATCTCCCCTCACTGCAACCTCCGCCTCCCGGTTTCCAGCAATTCTCCTGCCTCAGCCTCCCGAGTAGCTGAGATTACAGGCGCCCACCACCACGCCCAGCTAAATTTTTTTTTTTGTATTTTTAGTAGAGACGGGCGTTTCACCATGTTGGCCAGGCTGGTCGCAAACTCCTGACCTCTAGTGATCCACCCACCTCGGCCGCCCAAAGTGCTGGGATTACAGGTGTGAGCCACCGCGCCCGGCTGAAGGCTTTCATTTTTACCCTAGAAGGTCAAGTACATGTTTAGGAGTCCTTATAATCTTGAAGTTTGCTTCTAGTCATGGTTTCACTTTTAATGGGCAGAAGATAGCTATTACCACAAATTTCCTTTGTTGTAATTTCTGCCTCCACAGTCTTTTATAATTTAGATGTAGCCACAATAAATACATTCTGTTGTAAGCATTTAACATGACACATTTCATCATTAAATACTTATGTTTTGGATTTCCTCCTCCCATTTAGGACTAGATTGCCCACCGCATCTGAGATCTTTCAAAGTAAACAAATGGTTTAAAAGAAATCAACAGATTTCTCATGAGTTATATTTTAAAAAGCATCTTTAATTTGAAGCAAGTTCTCATTTAAACACATTTTTCTTGATAGGTCACTTAAAAGTTCATGTATAACGCAAAATGAATTTTTAAAATAAGAAATTTCATAACTCAAAATGAATTAAGGAAATAAGAAATGACTTTAAGTAATTTATAGGACTAGAATGGAACTACAAAATTCCTACTCTCCGCTGTTATACTAACCAATCATGTGCCTTGTGCTTTAAATCGAAAGGAACTTTGTAAAGCCAGGATCATTTTTCAGTAAGAGTATCCGAAAGGATCTATACCACCTTGGCATAAATAAGTTATCTTTCCTTTCTACCATTAAAACAAACCCCTTGTAGGATATCTGAACCCCTGGCAATATCTCACAATATCTCAGTTTCAGCACAGAGGTGGCTCCTTTCTCTGGTGTTCAAAAAAGCACTGCATGAAGGCTCTATGTGTCGGCCCTACTGGTTAAGAACGGGCTGCAAAATGGTTAGAATAATGGGGATTCCAGCATTTACATCATAGCGGGATAGAGGGTTTCAAATGTATTTTAGTAAAGAACTTCCAGCCTCATGTCATAGAGGCTCTGGAAGTGCCAAGTATTTGGTGGGAATGACAAACCTGCATAGACCAAAAAGGTGATGAGTGCAGCCAGCAGGTGGATACGAAGCTTGGTTCGGACCTCCTGAAAGTGCAGCAGAGCGCTGTGGAAAAGAAAGGAGCAGACGGCCTCTGTGATGACCGCTTTGAACAAGTCGACTTGGATGGGATTCTTGCAAGCGAAGCTCCTCTCGCTGACGTGATACTGGGTCAGACCCAAGTTCCACAGGGCGCTTGTGCAGTACCTGCTGCACAGGGCACTAACCAGCTGAGCCAATAGCCTGACCGCGCCCGTCTCTGGGGACATGCCCCCCAGCATCATCTGCATCATCACGCCGCACGGGTTGCTGGACGTGCCCACCAGAGTCAGACCATGCACCAGCGAGAAGAAGTAGACGAGCGTCAGCGTCCAGGTGGGGTGCGCGGGGTGCTGCTCGCTCAGCAGTTGCAGCTCGTGGGTGCAGCAGCAGAGCTGGAAGGTGGCTAGAAACTCCAGGACGAAGGCGTGGGCCACCGGCCTGTGCAGCTGCTGCCGGGCGACCACGCGGGCCAGCCCTATGAGCAGCACTACCGACAGCATCAGTCCCAGCGAGGTGCAGGTGTCCTGCAGCTCGGGCCGGAGCCCCAGCAGTGGCGACATGGCTCTGTCGCCGCCTGAGCGGGTTGCGGGCTCCGGCTCTGGGTAGGAGGCAGTCTCCGGGCCCGAGTCCGAAGTCCGCAGCCCCTCCCCTCCTCACGCCCCTCGGGGCGGGACGAGCGGGAGGCCCCGGGGCGGCACACGTGGGGAGTCCTCCCCGCCTCCCCGGCTCGGCGCTGGGGTGTTGGAACCAGAGCCGGGGAGGCGGGGAGGCGCGGAGCGCCGAGAGGAGGTCGGCTAGGGCGCCGGCCGAGGGGCCAACGGTCAGCCGAGCCCTCAGCGCACTCGGCCTCCGCCCTCCGCCGCCTCCCTCAGGGCCTTGCAGGCGGGTGCGGCGGCGGAGGGCCGGGCGCGGCGTGGACTACGCAGCGCTCTTGGTGCCCACTGCGCACGCGTGCTGCGGCCCGTGCGCCCCTGCGGGCGGCGACTCCAGACCCCGGGGCGGAGAGGAGCGGGGCGGAGGGGAGCGGCGCGGCAGGGCTCGGACGGTTGCTTTGAAGTGAGGAGCTTGGAGTTTTTCTTTCCCGGCTCCAGACTGTAAAACCGTGGAGCTGGAAAGACCGCTGAAGGCCACCTCAGATAGCCACCTCGTTTTTATCAATGGGGCGACTGAAATTGAGAAGGGAGACGCGGCGCAGGGGGCGGGTGAGTTAGTGGGCGTAGACCGGTGCGCAGGGCCTCCTGGAGCCTTGCTTTTCTTCACCTGCCAGAAAAGATTGCTAAAAATGGTGGTAATATATGCCAGATAAAATTCGCCACTTTAACTAGTTTAAGCGTGTTTCAGTGGCATCGATTACCTTCACAGGGTTGTTCAACCATCACCTCTTTTTTCCCAGAACTTGAGCGGTGATTCTTCGAAGTGTAGCCTAGTTTTGGCGTTTCTTTGGCATAAACTCTTTACCTGTAATATGAAACAGTTGTGTCTTACTGTTACATGCAGTCTTCCTACGAGAAGAGGAAAAAACAGGTAACTGGAGACCCCAGGAGTTCCAGGCTGCAGTGAGCCGAGATCGCGCCACTGCTCCCCGCGCCTGGGTCACAGAGTGAGACACTTTTTAGAAACAACAACAACAAACCAGGCTCGGCTGGGCGCGGTGGCTCACGCCTGTAATCGCAGCACTTTGGGAGGCCGAGGCGGGCGGATCACCTCAGGTCGCGAGGTCGGAACCAGCTTGACTAACACGAGAAACCCCATCTGTATTGAAAATACAAAATTAGCCGGGCATGGTGGCGCATGCCTGTCATTCCAGGTACTCGGGAGGATGAGGCAGGAGAATCGCTTGAACCCAGGAGGCAGAGGTCTCACACCTGTAATCCCAGCACTGTGGGAGGCCGAGGTGGGTGGATCACCTGAGGTTAGGAGTTTGAGATCAGCCTTGCCAACATGGTGAAACCCTGTCTTCACTAAAAATACAAAAATTAGCTAGGCGTGTTGTCACACTCATCCACAAAAATTACATAGGCGTCGTTGCCACACTTCCAGCCGCCCGGCACGCCGCACGGCCAAGACGCAGCGGCTGAACCCGAGGTGAGGTTGCAGTGGAGCCAACGATTCGTGCACTAAACTCCGCCTGGGGCAACACGGTGAGAAGCCATCTCAAACAAAAAAACAAAAAAAAAAAAAGCTCTGAAGCGCCTGTCCTTCTTTGGTGACCTTACATGACGGGCACCGAACATGGAAAATTGTACCAGTAAGCTGAAAAATATTTTCAGCATGAAAAACTCTCAGGCTTCAAGAAAAAGTTCAAGTATAAGTACAAAAAAATCTTTTTCCCCGAACCATTTGAAAATAGTTGTTGTATCATGCCCTAGATTACTCAGAACATTTAGTGTGTATTTTCTTAAAAACTGGTCCACATAGCCATATAATGGCTATCCAAACAGGAAAGAGCGAGAGCCACCATATACCCTCAGATCCCATCAAGTTTGCCAGCTGTCCTCAACTTGTACTTCCTTAGCAAAAGGATCCAATCAAATGGCCACATTGCATTAGTGCACTGTCTCATGAGTTTCTTCAATCAGAGAAGTTTCCTCAGCTTCTCATTGACTTTCATGACCTGACAGTTTCTGAGGATCACAGATCCAGATTGAAACCTCCTGAGTTTGGTTTGCTAATGTGTCCTAGATACTAGGGTGAAGTGTCTTTTTTTTTTTTTTGACCTAGGTCCTCACTGTTTGCCCAAGGCTTGAAGTGCAGGGAAAT